CAACCAGGGCCGGGGACAAACTGCAACCGAGGTACATGCCCTTAGCGGGAACCAAACCCGGGTCTCTCCAGACCGCAGGCCGATGCTCTAACCACTGAGCCAAACTGGCCAGGGCTATTTATTCATTGATTTGTTCTTAATATATTCATAGAGATATTGGCAGACTCTTCTTGTCACTGGTAGTGATACAAGAAAGATAAAGAATTTGCCTTCAAGGTACTTAATTCTAATGTGGGATTTTGATGATACACTAATAATCAAGTAAATGTATAATATGATTTGAGATATCGATGAGAATCAGTAGAAAGAAAAATACAGCCTAAGAGAGTTAGTAAAATTGTGCATGTATTGCTTTAGAGGGGAAGAGTGGGAAAGGGCCCAAGAAGAGAAGTCATTTCAGTGAAGATCTACATGGTCTTTACTCAAGGTCAAGGGAAGGAGCCCAGACACCCTAAGGAATTCAGTGAGATCTATTTTGGTGTCTTTAACATTTCTCCTTAGCCCAGGGCTCTGGAGAAAATAGAAGATCACAGACAAGCAGATGTTTGGGATTTTCCAAGTTGCTCTATGAGACTGGACCGTGGCAGTTTGGTTAGAGGGACCGACTGCCCAGGTCTTGTCTCTGCTGCTGGAAATACAGAGTTGAGGCCTGAGGAATGTAGAGGGCGTTGCCTCCATAGCAGCTGTTTTCTTGTCTCCTGACCCTAGTGTAGAGCCCACGCAGTACAGATGGACCCCACTACTCTGTTGTCATCTGAGGACCGGAGACATCAAAATCTCAGAGCTAGAGAAAATGAGAAATTTAAAGTTTTATTGAATGAAAGGTGGAGGGTAGCTTTCATCATCACAATAATGAAAATAAGTGGATAATCCATTCCAAGGAGCCAGCTCTCCAGGAGTCAGGGAAAGACCCAATACTTTGTCTCAAATAGTTCTTACTTTATGGCCATATCCTGGATAGACCCCACTTCCTAACAGCCCCCAAAATGATAATTATAACTGAAGAAACACTTTAAAATGACTATAATGCAAATGAAGCTTATGCTTAGAGGATACAAAGGAGAGAAATAACCATGTCTGGGCCCACCTAGACATTGGCTAGGAATACTTCCTTGTAACTATGTAAATGTATTTTGCAGGGCACGGGCATAACAGGCATAGAAGACTGTTAAGGCCATTCTGGATGGGAGGGGTGGTGGTAAAACTGAGCACCTTATGGTCAGGGAAGTAGACAGGGTGGCAGGTCAGAGCAGAGTTGGAGGCAGGGTGTCCAGTGAACTGACCAGAGGAAAGCCTTCTCCACATGCACCGCCCACTTCACCTTTGTCGTGATTGGCTATGGCAGCTGCCTGTTCCTTTACCTGACGCCCAATCAAATGCAGGCAGCCCAGTACAATAGAATCGTTTCCCTGGTGATTTCTGTGGTGACCCCTTTGGTGAACCCGTTCATCTTCACCCTCCGAAATGACAAGGTCACAGAGGCCTTTCGAGATAGTGTGAAATGCTGCTGTCACCCTCTCTGGAAGGAGCCTTACCCTAAGGCATTTACACGGGGAAACGCTTATGGATTCTAGAATAATCTGCAAAGTACATACTCATCTTTGAGCTGTATCTTATCGTCAATGAGTCTGTGTGCAACAAAGATCTTTTAAGTCATGGCCGTGGTTTTTAATGTGGTTGGTGTGATCTTGAAAAGTCACTCTATTATCTTAAAAAATTCATTTTATTGTCTTAAAATTCACTTTATTATATATATATTTATATATATATAAATTTTATATATATAAATATAAAATTCACACACATATATATAGGGTGGGACAAAAGCAGGTTTAAAGTTGTTTGTATGAAAAATAATATATAATTAGTAAATAATAATACAAGAATAAACTCCATGTTTTGCATACTCACAACTGTAAACCTACTTTTACCCCACCTTGTATACACACACGCACACACATTCTCACACACACTTTTTCAAGTTATGATACATTTCACAATAAAACTTTAAAAAACCAAATATAAAATAACATGTGCGATATTTAGATTTCTGAACAGAAAGGCTAGGGAAAATGTTCTCTGACCGAAGAACTGAATGATTACTTTATTCCACAATTTGAATAATTTTTTCCATAATATGTCCTGTGCTCTGTGTCCTGCATGTAAAGCTCCCTATTCCTTCTCTGACTCAAACATATTCTCTTGGTTTCCTGTCCCAACGTCCTGTTGCCTCATTTCTTCTCTGCCTGGTGAAAGAATGAACTCATTCTGGGCACCTTTGCAATCCCAGGGTGGTTGGTTTTAAATACAGACACAGGTCTTGTGGACTTTCTCAGGAAATGCTAGGGAGAGAGGTATTATTCTCTCTCCAAAGAGCACCCAGATCCTGCCGCCTGCCACAAAGGAGGTCGGACAGTGGACCTGTTGTGCTGGGGCTGGTGTGACAGGGATGAGCTGGCTCCCTGGGCAGAGGGCGTGTGCAGAGAGGGGCGTTTTGTTGTCCTCTACTGTGCACTTCCTGTCCCGAGTCCTCTTTGTCCCTCTCCGTCTGGGCTCTGGTTCTCCAGTGCATCTCTTAGTTCTTCTTCCCCTGACGCCCTTGCTCTCCTCTGGGCTGTCCTCATGCCTTGTTTACGCATTTCCCAGCCTTGCTCTTTTCTCTAGTCGGTCCCATTCTGGCCCTAGGCAGGGTTTCCGTTGCTTATGTCAGGAGCACAGTTTTGTCTGCTACGGCATTACTGGGATAACAAAATATTGATAGCTGAATGGGATATCCGTGGGTGGCTGGTTAGGTAAACTGTGTTTGATCTGTACAATGATATGTTACGTAGCTGGGAAAAGAATCAAGAAGCTCTGTTTTTCAATGATGAGAAATGATCTCCAAGCTTTATCGTTCAGTGAGAAGAGCTAACCACGCTGGATTCAGTGTTCCGCCTTTTGTGTAAGGACGGAGCAGGAATGAACGCACAGCCAGGTCTCACTTCCCGTCGGGGGGTTCTTGGCACTGTGGCAAGATGATGTCGTATGAAACCAGTTTTACGATAAGCAGATGGATATAAACGAGTGTTAAGCTCCTCTGGCAACATTATAACAAAATGATGAGGACCTGCTGCATGTTTGTGTTTATACTTGCCTGTTAGCAGAACGATAAGAAACTAATAATAGGTGGTTGTCTGTGGGGTTGTGGTAGAGGGATGGGCACATAGAATGGGCAGATAGACACTCGAATGTTTGTTAAATAAGTAAATTTGGTAATTCATTTTAAAAAATAACAAAATTGGCCCTGGCAGGGTGGCTCAGTTGGTTGGATATTGTCCCATACACCAAAAAGACTGCAGGTTCAATTCCTGGTCAGGGCACACACCTAGGTTGTGGTTCGAGCCCTAGCTGGGATATGTGCAGGAGGCAACTGATCAATGTCTCTCTCTCACATCGAGGTTTCTCTCTCATCTCCTTCCCCTCTTTCTAAAATCAATAAACATGTCCTCGGATGAGGATTAAAAAATGTATAGTAAAAAAGAATAATAAACTGCTGTTACCTTATAAGGTGACCTTTATCCATTCTTATAGGTTTCTGACCACCCCCATCCCCAGCAATAAAGTTAAACCACAGTCCACATATTTCCTGTATATTCCCCACCTGCGCCCCAGCCCAGCCCACGGGGCCCCTTTTAGAACTGGCGCAGGGTACCTCCTTATCTTGGGGAAAATGTGAACTGTCTGTCTCCTAGGGAAATCACATGTCCACATTTCCGGACTCAAAAGTTTGCAATTTATCCTGTCATTGTATAGGAAGTGTGGCAACCACCGTTCTCCCTTTTCAAAACAGAGTGATTGTGCTTTTCTCTCTGTTGTCTGAGTTCTGGGGCTTACCTATGGTTAGAATTCTGTTCCTTGTCCTTACCATAAACCGGGCTGCTCTTCCTTCCTCAGCTGCGGCTCTGTTCTTGGCTAACACCGTCAGACTCTAACGGAACTCCAGCATCCACTCTACCCCACACGAACTGTTTCTGCCAGTCTCCTTCCAGCAACTTCTAACACCTAATGGATTATCTCATTAAAAAATAATTATAACTAAGTGGCATGCTAATGAACCCCAAAATGATGAAGCCTCGGAATATAAGAACAGACCTTGGGGGTGTACTAAAAATAAAACTGACAACAGTTTAACTTGACATTCATCTAGGGACAGACACAATCATTGTGGTACTTGGTTATGAGACATAAATGATAACCATTTTACTTCGGTGACTGTAATTTCCATTAATTTTGTGCAGTCTTTCCTATGATTTAATTCTTGTTACTGAAAACCCATAGGCATCTCTTTTCTCTTTTGCATGCACGGAGGAGGGTCTGTAGCCACCTTGTGAGTACAGAGGACAGGCAGGATACCCCATAATTTTCCTACCTCTTTCTTGCCTTCCGTTCAGTCTGGCCAAATGAACTCTGTTTCTTCCTGCATGATTTCCATTTGCCCCTGGTGTTCCCTTTCGCCCATATATCCACTCCTTGCCTCCACCCAGTCCCAGTGTTTCCTTGAGCATCCCTCCCCTTTTTCTACTTCTTGATCAGCTGGACCAGTCAGGGCTCAGTGTGAGGCCAACCAGCCCAAGGTTGCGGCATCTTTGGATCAGTAGGCTGTACCGGGTGGCAGAGTCTCTCCAGAACTGCAAAGAGGAATATGCTGTGACCACCGTGGCACAAGACTATCCCAGTTTGTTAAAATATACTCAACAAATACTGTCGGACATTCAGAATCTGTTAATGTGAAGATTCAGGCCAAGACCTAGAAAAGTTTTAGCTCGAGTCTGTCTTAGTGCTTTGCTGAAGAACAGAGATTCAGTCAGCTTGGTCATCTTGGCTGTTGGGTTGTCTTTTTTCTTTTTAACTTTTTTTTTTATTGATTTTTTAGAGAGAGAGTAAGGGAGAGGGAGAGAGAGACAGAAACATCAATGAGAGAGAACATCGATTGGCCGCCTCCTGCATGCCCCCCCGGGGATCGGGCCCACAACCTGAGCATGCGCCCTGACTGGGAATCGAACCGGTGACCTCTTTGTGCATGGGTCGATGCTCAACCATTGAGCCACACTGGCCGGACTGTTGGGTTGTCTTAAAAGGGATTTCCTAGCAGATGCCTGGCCTACCCAGACCCCTCCTCAGTCCCCGGAACAAGGCTCTCTCTGCTCCAAGCTCAGCTCCAGGAGCCCATCCCCAACCCGGCCTTGATTCAGGCCTGTGCTGTCCCACCTGGGGTGGGGGCGTGTGGATAGTGGCCTCTTGGGGACAGAGGTGAAGTCACAGAAGCCAAGTTTATCCGTCTCCCACCCTTGCTACCCTCCAAATAATGTTCACACCTGCTTAGCCCACAGTTTCTCCCTGGGAGTAAGGTCATGTGCTCTCAGGACCAAACAGACCCTGGCAACCGGCTCAACCTTGCCGACCAGTGAGAAATGCCTGGTTCTGTGGAAACATACTCCACTTTATACCCGCTGAGTTGCCTCCACAAAACGAACCCTGCTTCCTAGAGGTGGCTAGAATCCAGTCCCCCAAAGTGGGGTACAGAAGCTCATTCCTCCAAACAGTCCAGGGTGTCTTCTAGCTTACAGATGGGTGAAGGGGTCACTGACTACATGACCTGTTCACATCCAGAGAGAGTCACAGGTGTGGCTGCCATAGGAAATGGGGTCTTGAGGAATTGCTGGCCAGAGCGGGGGGTTTGCCTCAGGTGCGTACGTGGAGGGGCCAGCATGCTAGCCCTGAGGACTCATGGGGGGCTCTGCCTGTAGCCCAGGGCACGCTGGCACAGTCATCTGGTGTTCTGTGTTTCCTGGGTCACTCCCAGTTGTCAACATCTCCTTTGGCTGTCTTCATCATGTGTTTGCTGCTCTTGCCAGGGAAGGCAGAGGACTCCATCACTGGGCACGCTTCTCGCAGATCCAGCGGTAAGCAGTGTCACAGGACGCGGCATCAAATGTCTTTGTCAGGCCGATGGTCACACAGTTGAAATCCTGAAGCTGATTGGTAACGCTGAATGGGAAAAGACAGTGTGGTTAAGGCCCGTCTTTTCAGCCCTGCTTTTTCCTGATTCCAGTCCCCTTCGGTCCCCAAACCCCCTCTAAACTGACCCCTTCCTGTCAACTCTCTGGTGAGCTTGGACTGACTCACTCTGTGTTTGGTCAGAAACATCTCATGGGTCCTCTGTTCCATTTCCTCCCAGAAATAATATTTTAGTGCTGAAGGTACTATGTGCACAGCAGGAGACCTGAGAGGAGGGAGAGGTTTCTCTTCCTTCCCTGGGCAGCAGGTGGCTTTAGGAAGGGACACTTCATTGGCCTTCTCCCACCTCTTTTTCTGTCATTCAGACCCTTTTGGTCTGACCAGAAAGAGTCTAATGTCATGGAAAGGTTAAGAGTCTTTAAAATAAGTTTTTTTTTTTTTCTTTATTGATTTTAGAGAGAGAGGAAGGGAGAGGGAGAGAGAGATAGAAACATCGATGAGAGAGAACATTGACTGGCTGCCTTCTGCATGCCCCCCACTGGGGATCAGGCCTACAACCTGGGCATGTGTCCTGACCGGGAATTGAACTGGTGACCTCTTGGTGCATGGGTCAATGCTCAACCACTGAACCATACCAGTAGGGCCAAAGTCAAGAGTCTTGAAGTCAAGTGGATGTGGGATCTATGGTGTCTCCATCAATGTCCAGCTTGGTGCCATTCAACATAATTCTAAGTCTCTCATCCTCTGTTCAACTGTCTGTTCAATGAGGATTAATAAAAGCTTTTCCTAGGCATCTTTGTGAACAGTGCAGGAATGCCACGTGGAAGGCGCCTGGCCTGTAGTCAGCCATGACCATGAATGTCCTCTCCTCGGTGGGAAGCCCGGGTGCAGGCTGGGGAACTGACTTGCTTTCTGTCTGACTCAGCCTCTTCAGACGTGCCCTGGCAATGCCACCTTCCCCACCCGTGCTCGGTCCGTGGAATGATAGCTAGGAGACAGCTCTGGGAGTCCAAGTTCAGAGCTTGAAGGCAGAGACAAGTTGCTTCTGCTTATCTTTCTTTAGGTAAAGAAACCACATCTGGGGAACTTGTCAGAACTTAGTTATAAAATGCGATCTCTGGATTAAAATAGACTAATGAGAAAAACCAGCTGGCATGTGGCTTTGTTTGGATCCTAATTTTAGCAAAACAATTTGTTGTGTGAACACTGTTCTCTCTACTTAGACATGTTTGATATGTTCCATAATTTTAAAATGTTACCCAACAAATGTGTCTCCGGGAATAGATGGGTTGGAAGAAAGGAGAGGAATAGAAAAAAAGAGTCCCAGCCTTTGTGTTATTCCAGGACAAACCCACGAACTCTCAGGCCTGGACTCTTGAAGCCAACAAAGATCCCCACGAAAAATGTGGGGCGTTCACGTACGTGCCATTGAAAACGGAATTGTTGATCCAACGCCAACTTTTCTCCGCGTGCTGGTATAGTAAGCCAATAAAATACTTCTCAGTTCCAGTTATGCGCTGGAGGAACTCCTAGAAATTAAAAAAATAAAATAAACATTCAGCAGAAGGTTCTTTGCTGTCGTTTCCCTGTGCCATTGGGCCCATGCTTATATCTGATTCTGGAAACGAGGGCTGGCAGGGGACTCTGGGGCTGTGATCGCTGGCACTCAACATGAACCCTGCAGAAGGAATTCTCGGTCTACACAGAGTCAGGACCACTTGGAGATCTTGTTCATACACAGGCTTTGGGCTCTGGTTCAGTGGGTCTTCAGTCGGGCACCACGGATTTCGATTTCTAACACATTCCTAGGTGATAGAGAATGAAGGGGAAGGGCATGATACCATCCCAAAAGGGGTCCTTTCAAATACACCTTAACAAAAATTTTTTTTGATTCTCACTGCATGGGCTTGTTTTCATTGCCAGAAATGTTACATTCCAAATGAGGTTTGGTCAAATGAATTCCTTTGTTGGCAAGAGAGACAGGGAGATTTAAAATATATTGCTAAAGCAGGTAACTCCATGAGAAATAATCAATGTTGATTGAATATTTGCTAAGTTGACACTAATCCAACACATCCTAGTTTCTGTATGAAACTGATGAATAACGAATCAACTCCAGACAGAATTATGGGACCTCCTGCCTCTTCCATACTTTTCTCATATGTCCCGCGATCATGGAGAACTGAGCCCACGTGGATATTCTCTCCACCCCCTTGGCTGCGGCCTTTATCCCTCCCTTGTCAATGTCCTTCTCTCGTGAAATATCCTAGTTTTCTACTTTATTAATTTTTAAAATCAATCACCAAATTTACTCATTTAACAAACATTTGAGTGTCTATTACGTGCCAGGCATTGTACAAGGCTGGGATATGGGAAAAAATTCATTTCTCCTGAAGAAGTTATTATCTGAAGAAGGGGTTGGCAAGTGATAGCCAGCAGGCCAAACTGAGACTGTAGCCCAATTTTGTAAATAAGATTTGATTAGAACACACCCAGGTCCATTTTCTAAAAAAACATATTGTCTATGATTGCTTACAGTGGTAGCATTAAGTAGCTGTGACAGAGAATTTATGACCTGAAAAGCATGAAATATATACTATCTGGCTCTTTAAGAAAAAATGTTCTGACCCAGAAAAGCAGTTAGTTACCTACAAGGGAGTTCCCCTAAGGCTGTCAGCCAATTTCTCAAAAGAAACTTTGCAGGCCAGGAGGGAGTGGCAAGAAATATTTAAAGTGATAAAAAGCAAGAACCTACAACCAAGATTACTCTATCCTGCAAAGCTATCAATTAGAATCGATGGCCATAGAAAGAGTTTCCCAGACAAGAACAAGCTAAAGGATTTCGTCACCTGCAAACCAGTATTATATGAAATGTTGAAGGGTCTTCTTGAAGAAAATAAAAAAAATATGAACAATAAAATGGCAATAAATACATATCTGTCAACGATTGAATCTACAAACAAAATGAGCAAGCAGAACAGAAACAGACTCATAGATACAGAAAACATTTTGTTGGTTGCCAGATGGGAGGGGAGTTGGGTGAAAAAGATGAAGGGATTAAGAAGTACAAATTGGTTGTCAGACTGATGAACCTCAAAAGGAAGGGGGGAGGTGGGCGGGAAGAGAGAAACCAAAGAACTTCTATGCATCTATGCATCACCCATAGACACAGACCATAGTGGGGGAAAGCGGGAGGGGGCAGGATTGGGGAGGAGGGAATCAAGGCGGGGTGTTGGAAAGAGGGACATCTATAATACATTCACCAATAAAGATAAGTTAAAAAAAATGACCCATGGTCCAAACCAGGGGTTCTTAACCCTTAACTCTTTTGCTGGAAGCCATGGATAGTTTCCAAGGGGATTTATGAAGCTGTTCAAGTTTTATTCAAGATATTGTACCTATGGCCCTACCTGGTTTGGCTCAGCAGTTGGAGCATCAGCCTGTAGACTAGAAAGTCCCAGGTTTGGTTCTCTCTAGGGGAACGTATCTATCTATCTATCTATCTATCTATCTATCTATCTATCTATCTATCTAGTGCCTATGTAATGTTTCTGGGAAGAGGTGTGTAGATTTCACCACCATTTCTAAAACCTCAATCATACCAACATGAGGAAGATCCGGAGGTCTAATAAAAGAAAGTAGATGCATCAACCAGTCAAGTGAGGTGTCCCAGGTAATATCGTGTTAGATCTAGCAAAGGCAGAAAGGAGAAGTGAGCAGTTCTACATGGCTGTGGGGTTTTCCAGAAAGATGATAGATGAGGTGATACTTGAGATGGATTTGGGAAGACAGCTGTTGGTCAAGCATATGCTGGGCAAGGGCATGGGTCAGGATTCGACGTTCTGGAAGAGGGAGCAGCAGACTGCAGCAGACTGCATGGCAGCCTGGAATATTTGCAGAACTGCAAGGTGTTCAGTGTGGTTGGTGCAGACGTAGAAGGGAGGCAGGTTGGCACACAAACCTTGACTGAAGGCAGAGGCTGGACTGTATGTCATGCTGGAGAAACTGGACTTTAACCTACTTTAATTTGGCAAATGGCATGGGTAGTTTAGAGCCTCAGAGATTTTATTGTATCAGTTCCGTGGAGGAGAGCCAAGAAGGATCAAAACTAGGGGCAAAGAGAGACTTTGGAGAGTTTTGAAGAAATCCAGATGAGAGGTGAATTATTTCCCTAGAGGGATAGATAGAAAAGGATTTGATTAGCAACTAATTTCGCAGAGAAGAGCAAAGGTCAAGTCCCAGAAAACTTCAGTGTTTGATGGTGGGTGACCTGATTACTCACAAGTGATTAGAATTCAAGAGGAGGAGCAGGTGGAGTGAAATATAATGGACTCAGTTGGACTATGGTGAGTTTGTGATGCTTTTGAAACATCAAAGGGAATTGGATATACGGTCTGCTCTGGAGAAGGCTAGGCTAGAAATATAGACTTGAGCGTCATCAGCAAACCACCGGTCCGATGAGCTCTTCCTGGGGTCAGCATGGAGAATGCCAGGGAGGGAGCTGGAGGTACTCCAGAACTTAAGAGCTGAGTAGAGGAAATAAGACTACTGACTTTCTGTCTCATTCTCCTCTTCTTTTTTCATTTCTCCCCACGCTCTTGCTCCTGGTTTTCTAATTGAAACTATTTTCTCTCCCGACTGGGGTTCTTAGCTCTTGGTTGGACATCTTCCTCCAAGATTCACAGAAGCCCCTCTTACGGATTTCTCTCAATCACAGGATGACTTTTTAGAAGAAGAGTGAAAGGATAGAGAGGAGAGAAGCAGGAATATTGTATGTATCAGTGTCTAGCTCTCAGCAAATGCTCAGAATATGAAGGTAAGGCGACTATACACTAAAATATATTAGGGTCTAAAATTGAGGAGAGTGTGGGTTTTGGAGTTAGAAAGATCTCAATTTCACATGCTGTCCCTTAGTAGGGTATGACCTTGGCTAAATGGCTTTTCTGTGCTCTGGTTTCCTCACATATAAATTACAGATAATAATACCTCCTCAGATTTGTTATGAGTATAAAAGGAGATGATGAAACAAAGATTTTTTTTGCATAGTGTTAGCTATTTTTATGATCATAATTGTATACTGCAATGATGATTTTATGATCTAATTGTTTGTTTTTTACTCATTTTGTTTATTAGCATCTTCCTTATTAATGAGGCCAACTGGGATGATACATTAACGGCTCACATCTTTGAAGTATTCTTAGTTCTTAAACAACTTTTATACACATCAGCTCACTTGGTCATTCTCTACACTTTAAATGTACTTGCCCATTTCCAGGATACCAGTCTACTGCTTTGCCTCATGGGAGAAACCACTGTGTGTGGATTTCACTAGCTCAAATAGATTCGAGGAGCACACCCCATTGCTTCTAAGAAGAGACTCCCATCTATATAAAGAACTCATACAACTTAACAAAAAGGAAGACAAACAATCCAATTTAAAAATAGGCAAAGGACCTAAATGGACACTTCTCCAAAGAGGACATACAGATGACCAAGAGACATGAAAAAGTGCTCAGCATCACTAATCACCAGAGAGATGCAAATTAAAACTGAAATGAGATATCTTCTCACACCTGCCAGAATGGCTACCATCAACAAACAACAAGTGCTGGCAAGGATGTGGAGAAAAGGAAACCGTAGTAGTACACTGCTGGTGGGAATGCAGACTGGTACAAGCCACTATGGAAAACAGTATAAAGTTTCCTCAAAAAATAAAAAATGCAACTGCCATTTGACCCAGTGATCTCACTGCTAGGAATATATCCGAAGAATCCCAAAACACCAATCAGAAAGACTATATGCACCCCTATGTTTGTAGCAGCACTATTTACAATAGCTAAGATCTGGAAACAGCTCAAGTGTCCATCAATAGATGAGTGGATAAAAAGCTGTGGTACATTCACACAATGGAATACTATACAGCTGTAAAAAAGAAGGATATCTTATCCTTTGAGACAGTGTGGAGGGACCTGGAGAGCATTATGCTAAGTGAAATAAGCCAGTCAAGGAAAGACAAGTATCACATGATCTCACTTATATGTGGAAACTAAGGAACAAACTAAATTGCAAACTAAATAGATCCAGAGACATCAAAGCATGGAACAGACTAATGAATCTCAGAAGGAAGGAGAGATTGGGGGTGGGGGGAAGAAATTAACCAAAGAACTTACGTGCATATATGTATAGCCCATGGACATAGACAGTAGTGAGGTGAAAGCCTGGGGGGCAGGACAGGAGCAGGGTGCAGAGGGGGTCATTGGGGGGAAACGGGGATATCTGTAATACTTTCAACAATAAAGATAAATTTAAAAAGTCTTCATCTCCAGGTTCAGAACAAGAAGCTTGAGCTCCCAGCCAGCCACTTCTTCACCCCTCACCTCAACCCCGACCTGTCAGTCAACCTGCCCCCCCACCCCACCCACCAAGGCCCGTGTCAGCCGGGACCCTTCTCACGCCCTCACCAGTTTCTCTGGCGTGTTGACAATGGCCAAAGTCGATCCTTCTGCCGCACAAGCGTCCCTGCTTTTGTTCCAAGACATTTCAGAGATGGACAAGAAAAAACATCTTCCTTGATGAAAATCCCACCTGCTGGGGCAGACTAAGGAAATCCAAGAAAAGAGAGGATGAGATTAGCTGTTGTGGGTGTGAACTGAGTCATAAGATAGTGGAACATGGGTTTCTTTAGAACAATTATATTCATACAGATCATCCTCAACCCAGAAAGAGATTTCACCCTGTGCAGCCTCAGTTTCCCTGTCTACAACATGAAGGGAATGAATTAGAAGGTCTTCATGGGTCCCTTTGGGTAAAATAGTTTCACGAGAAAAGGGGCAAAGGGAAAAGTCTTTAAGAAAATCAGTACATAACCTGGGGGTGGAGAGGAGGTCATAACCATGCTCTTTACCTGTTCCATAGCTCTCCGTGGGAATGAAGCTGGAGTTCCCATTCCCGAAAATCTGCGGGACTGAAAGGAAAAGAAAACCTTAAGCTAGGCACGTGGTGAACACAACACACACACGTCAGAACCGCGCTCAGCCTCTGTGACTGTTTGTCTGTGCAGTGGACAAGGGGCTCCTGGTCACTCCGTGCTAGAATTTTTCAGAGATTTTCTTTCTTGGACCTTTCCATCTAACTACCATCATTATTTGCCATGCCCCACACACCCCAAGTTCTAGTTCAGGTCTTTTTTTTTTTTTGAGGAGGGGGTGGCAGTGAAGTGCTGAGAGAAAGAACATGGGAAGGGTAGAGGAATGGATGGATTTAGTATCAGAAGGAAACCTCTCACTCCCTTCTCAGGTCCATGGTTGACAGCGTTATCCTCAGAGGGCCATTTGGACCCCGTCCCTGCCAGGCTCCGCACAGCATCGTCTTTGGTGCTCTCCCCAGTTCTGGTGCCTCAGACCCTAAATGAAAACTCATGACCGGCAGCGTTCAGACCCCTCTCTGGGTAGGACTCATCGGCTCTGGGGACCGTGCCTAGCTGGAGCAAGTTTCAGGACCAGAGCTATTGGCAGACAAGAAGATAGGTGAACATCCCAGAGATTTCCTATGGGCAGAGAGGAGTCCAATGTTTCTTTAAATATAAACAGGGGGATTGATAGGCCTTCAAGAGGCCCTCTTTTTCCTGGGAGCACCGGCTGTCTGAGCAAGCATGCGCAACGGCTTCAGAGAAGGGAAAATTCATCCTCAGTGGCCCAATTATTTGTCCACTGTGGTTGCAGACCACTTTGGCTTACCTGGATACCACGTTAGCTACTTACAATTCTATTAACAAACCATGCAAGTTAGCACTCACTTTTGATTTCAGTCTCCAGTTCAAAGGTTCTTTGTGATATATACTAACCTGGTTTTCATCAAAAACTATTTGGGGATTCTAACGAAACAGAACTCCATAAATATTTCATGAGCCTGTCCTCCATGTAACTAACTCAGTGCCCTGGGTGTCTCGGTTGATACAAAGACAAATAAGAAAATGTCATTCCCCTAAAGATGTACATAGTAGTAGGTGTCTTAAGAGGAAATTAGAGGGAGATCCTGGGAAAAGCTTCAAGGGGAGGTGGGTTTAGTCGGGAGAGCCATGCTTCACCCATCTCTATCCTGCCTAGCTCTACGTTTGATTACTATCTCCTGTCCTTTTCTTCTTCTATGGTTGGTCTGGTATAGTGCTCGGTGCACAGAGAGATGCTGAATACAATTTTGTGTGTGTGTGGGAATGGATTTCTTTATAACAATTCCTTTAGGTGTACAACATGCCAGAGTTTATCCATGACTTTCACATCCTATCACAATGAGTCCACACTAACCGTCCTCAGGCCTGGGAGGAGAACTGAGGACTAGACATTTCACTTGGTCTGGTCTTGGTTTCCTGACTATAAAAGGAAGGGAACTAACTGGAAGATTTTTTTCTGGCTGTCCTGCATCTATTTCATTCTTCCAGCTTTCTTTTCTTTTAATTTTTAAAAATTAATTTATTTTTTATTAATTAATTTTTGTTACAGATGTTTCTCCTTTTTCCTTCACTGATTCCTCCCTCCCCCACCCTCCCCACCCAGTCCCCAGTTTGTTGTCCATGTCCACTGTTCATGCATACATGCATATAAGTTCTGTGGTTTATCTCTCCCCCACCACCCCCTCTTCTGGGAATTGTCAGTCTGTACCCCACTTCCACGTCTCTGGGACTGCCCTGTTCCTCAGACTGTTATGTTCATTATATTCCACAAATAAATGAGATCATATGATACTTGTCTTTCTCTGTTTGGCTTCTTTCACTTAGGATGATACTTTCCAGGTCCCTCCATGTAGTCTCAAAGGATAAGAGATCTTTCTTTCTTACCGCTGCATAGTACTCCATTGTGTATATGAACCACCGTTTTTTTATCCATTCGTCTACTGATGGACACTTGGGCTGTTTCCAGATCTTAGCTATTGTAAATAGTGCTGCTATGAACATGGGGGTACATATATTTTTTTCTGATTGGTGTTTCAGGCTTCTTAGGGTATATTCCTAGAAGTGGGATCACTGGGTCAAATGGAAGTTCAATTTTTAATTTTTTGAGGTAACACCGTATTGTTTTCCATAGTGGCTGCACCAGTCTGCATTCCCACCAGCAGTGTACTAGAGTCTTCTTTTCTCCACACTCTTGTCAGCACTTGTTGTTTGATGATTTGTTGATGGCGGCCATTCTGACAGGTGTGAGGTGATACCTCATTGTTGTTTTAATTTGCAATCTCTCTGATGATTAGTGATGATGAGCATTCCTTCATATGTCTCTTAGCCATTTGTATGTCCTGTTTGGAGAGGTGTCTATTTAGTTCCTCTGCCCATTTTTTAATTGGGTTCTTTGTCTTCCTTCTGTGGAGTTGTATGAGCACTCTGTATATATTGGAAATTAACCCCTTATCTGATATATCATTGGCAATTATGCTCTCCCATACAGTGGGTAGCCTTTTCGTTTTGATGATTGTATCTTTCTCTGTGCAGAAGCTTTTGAGTTTGATGTAGTCCCATGTGTTCATTTTCTCCTTTGTTTCTATTGCCTTAGGTGATGTATCAGTGAAAATTCTGCTGCGTATGATGTCTGAAATTTTGTTGCCTACAGTTTCTTCTAGGATTTTTATGGATATGAGTCACATTTAAGTCTTTTATCCATTTTGAGTTTATTCTTGTGTAGGGTGTAAGTTGATGGCCTAGTTTCATTTTTCTGCATGTAGCTGTCCAATTTTCCCAGCACCATTTATTAAAGAGGCTGTCCTTACTCAACTGTATGCTCTTGCCACCTTTGTCAAATATTAATTGAGCATATTGCCTTGGGTCCATTTCTGGGTTCTCTGTTCTGTTCCACTGGTCTATATGCCTGTTCTTGTGCCAGTACCATGCTGTTTTGATTATGGTGGCTTTGTAGTATAACCTGAAATCTGGTAATGTGATCCCTTCACCTTTGTTCTTCCTTTTCAAGATTGCTGTGGCTATTCAAGGTATTTTTTTGGTTCCATATGAACTTTTGAAGTACTTGTTCTAATTCTGTGAAGTATGCCATTGGTATTTTGATGGGGATTGCATTGAATGTATAGATTGGTTTGGGAAATATGGACATTTTAATAATGTTAATTCTCCCAATCCATGAACAGGGTATGTGCTTCCACTTTTTTATATCTTCCTCTGTTTCTTTTTTCAATGACCTGTAGTTTTCTGCAAATAGGTCCTTTATTTCTTTGGTTAAGTTTATTCCTAGGTATCTTAATTTTTTTTGCTGCAGTGGTAAATGGGATTGTTTTCTTAGCTTCTCTTTTTGTGAGTTCATCATTGGTGTATAAGAATGCCATCGATTTCTTGACGTTAATTTTGTATCCTGCTACTTTGCCAAATTCATTTATTAAGTCTAGTAAATTTTTGATGGAGTCTTTGGGGTTTTCTACGTATAGTATCATGTCATCTGCAAATAATGACAGTTTCACTTCCTCCTTTCCAATTTGGATCCTTTTTATTTTTTCCTCATGTCTGATTGCTGTGGCTAAGACTTCCAGTACTGGCAGTCTTAAATAAGACTGGCGAAAGTGGGCATCCTTGCCTTGTTCCTGTTCTTAAGGGAAATGCTTTTAGTTTCTGCCCGTTGAGTATGATATTGGCTGTAGGTCTTTCATATATGGCCTTTATTATGTCTAGATATAATCCCTCTATTCCCACATAGCTGAGCATTTTTTATCAGAAATGGATGCTAGATTTTGTCAAAGCCTTTTTCGGCATCTATTGATATGATCATGTGGTTTTTAATCATTTTATTTATGTGGCGTATCACATTTATTGATTTGTGAATATTGTACCAGCCTTGCATCCCTGGGATGAATCCCACTTGGTCATGGTGGATAATTTTTTTGGTGTATTGCTGGATCCGATTTGCTAGTATTTTGTTTAGGATTTTGGGATCTATATTCATCAGGGATATTGGCCTGTAGTTTTCTTTCTTTGTAGTGTCTTCTTCTGGTTTTGGAATTAGAATTATGCTGGTCTCATAAGACAAGTTTGGAAGTCTTCCTTCTTCTTGAATTTTTTGAAATAGTTTGAGGAAAATGGGTATTAGTTCTTCTTTGAATGTTCGGTAAAACTCCCCCGTGAAGCCATCTGGGCCTGGGCTTTTGTTTGCTGGGAGAGTCTTGATTACATCTTCAATTTCTTCTGTTGTTATTGGTCTGTTCAAGTTTTCTATCTCTTCCTGGTCCAGTTTTTGGAGACTATGTGTTTCTAGAAATTTGTCCATTTCGCTTAGATTTTCGAATTTGTTGCCATATAACTGTTCATAGTAGTTGTTAACAATTTTTTTTTTATCCTCACCCAAGGACATTTTTCCATTTTTTGTTCAGATAGAGTGGGAGGGAGAGAGAGGGAGAGAGAGAGAGAGAGAGAGAGAGAGAGAGAGAGAGAGAGAGAGAAACATTGATATGAAGGGACACATAGAGTGGCTGCCACCCGCATGACCAACCAGTGCCGGGGACAAACTGCAACCGAGGTATGTGCCCTTAGCGGGAACCGAACCCGGGTCCAACCGCTGAGCCAAACTGGCCAGGGCGTTAACGATCTTTTGTATCTTTGTGGTGACAGTTGTTACTTCTCCTCTTTCATTTCTGATTTTGTGTATTTGGGTTCTCTCTCTTTGTTTCTTGGTCAGTCTAGCTAAGGGTCCATCAATCTTGTTTATCTTTTCGAAAACCAGCTCTTTGTTTCATTGATCCTTTGAATTGTTTTTTTGGTCTCTGTGTAATTTATTTCTGCTCTGATCTTTACTATTTTCTTCCTTCTATTTGCTCTGGGGTTTTCTTTTTGTTTGCTCTCTAGTTCTTTAAGTTGTGAGGTTAGATAGTCTATTAGAGATTTTTCTTGTTTCTTGAGGTAGGCCTGTAGTTCTATGAAGTTCCCTCTTAGAACTGCTTTCGCTGCATCCCATAGATTTTGTGTTGTTGTGTGTTCATTTTCATTGGTTTCCAGGAAGTTTTTTATTTCTTCCTTGATCTCCTCGGTGACCCATTCATTGTTTAATAACATGCTATTTAGCTTCCATGTGTTCAATTGTCTTTGTATGTTCTTCTTGCAATTGATTTCTAGTTTCATGCCATTGTGATCTGAGAAGATGCTTGATATGATTTCAGTCTTCTTGAACTTGTAGAGCCTTAGTTTGTGCCCTAACATGTGGTCTATTTTTGAGAATGTCCCATGTGCACTTGAGAAGAATGTGAATTCTGTAGTTTTGGGGTGTAATTCTCTGTAGATATCTATTAAATCCATTTGGTCTAGTGCTTTATTTAGAGTCTCTGTTTCCTTGCTAATTTTTTATCTAGAGGATCTATTCAGTGATGTCAGCGGGGTGTTGAAGTCCCCTGCTATGATTGTATTGCTATCTATTTCTCCTTTGAAGTCCTCCAGAAGATTTTTAATATATTTTGGTGCTCCTATATTGGGTGCATATATGTTTATCAAGGTTATATCTTTCTGTTGGATAGATCCTTTCAATATTATGTAGTCGCCTTCTTTGTCTCTAGTTATGGCCTTCATTTTAAAATCTATTTTATCAGATATGAGTATTGCTACCCCAGCTTTTTTTTCCTTTCTGTTTGCTTGGAAGATTTTTTTCCATCCCTTCACTTTTAATCTTTGTGAGTCTTTTGTTGTGAGGTGGGTCTCTTGTAAACAACATATAGATGAGTCATGCTTTCTTATCCAATCAACTGCTCTGTGTCTTTTTATTGGAGCATTCAATCCATTTACATTTAAGGTGATTATTGATATGTACTTATTTATTGCCATTTTGTTTAGTGTGGTTATATTTTTCTTCCCATTTCTCCTGCTAATTACAGCAGTCCTTTTAACATTTCTTGCAGTGCTGGTTTGGTGCTAATGTATTCCCTTAGCCTTTTTTTTTTTTGGTCTGGGAAGCTCTTTATTTGACCTTCTATTTTGAATGATCGCCTTGCTGGGTAGAGTAGTCTTGGATTCAGATCCTTGTTTTTCATGACCTTGATTACTTCATGCCATTTTCTTCTGGCCTGTAGTGTTTCTTGTGAGAAGTCAGCTGAGAGCCTTATAGGGTTTCCTTTGTAGGTAACCTGTTGCTTATCTCTTGCTGCTTTTAGGATTCTCTCTTTGTCTTTAATTTTTGGCAGTTTGATTACTATGTGTCTTGGTGTGGGCCTATTTGGGTTCTTCTTACTTGGGGCTCTCTGTGCTTCTTGAACTTGAATGCCTTCTTCCTTCACCAAATTAGAAAAGTTTTCTGTTACTATTTCTTTGAATATATTCTCTAACCCTTGCTCATTTTCTTCTTCTTCAGGGACTCCTATGATGCGAATATTATTACGTTTCCAGTTGTTCCACAGTTCTCTTAAGCTGTCTTCCTGTTTTTTAATCATTTTTTTCCTTATGGTTTTCTGCTTGGTTAATTTTTTCTACCCTGTCTAATTCACTGATCCGGTCCTCAGCTTCCTCTACTCTGCTTTTTAGACCTTCCAATGTGTTTTTCATTTCTGATATGTCATTTTTTATCTCTTCTTGGTGGTTTTTAATTTCCAATTGGCTTATTTTCAGCATCTCTATGTCATTACACATGCTGTTGAGCTTCCTCAAGATCATGGCTCTGAATTCTAGTTCTGTTAACTTGCTTAACTGCACCTCATTTATCTCATCTTCGGTAGAGGTCTCTTGTTCTTTCATTTGGCTTTTGTTTCTGTTTTTCACCATTTTGGCTATCACAGTGGGCTTTGGACCCTGCCACATTTTCCCTGTGGGTGTTGGTGTTCTGCTGTTTGTGGCTCCCTCTCCTAGGTTTGGGTGAGGCAGGGAGGACCCACGTTAAACACCACTGTCAAGTCTTAACTTTTCTGGTTAGAGTTGCTAGCCCAGGGAATGGAAGTTATCCTCTACCTTTTTTTTTTGCCTGGAGGCTATTAGTAGAGGTCACCTGAAGAACCTTGGTTTCTGAGTTGCCTGAAAAACTCCCTCAGGTGCTCAGTGTAAGAGGATTTCCCAAGGGTGGAGCAGATGCTGGTTGTTAATGTGCCTCAATAAGCATTTCAATGGCCACAAGGTGGGGTTGAATCTCTGAGGGAGGGGCCGCCGCCTCTCCCCAGGGCCCTGGGAAGGAGTAAGATGACCACAGTCCTCCGTGGCTGCACTCAGCAAAAGCTCTGAGCACCCTCCAATTCCCAAGTGTCCCCACACAGTTCCAGTCCAGTCTGTATTCCCTCTGCCAGAGCCCAAGGTGAGTGGCTGCTGCCAATTTAGCCCCTGTCTAGACTCTGCGTCGTGGAGCCGCCTGGGACTTTTATCCTGAGGGCGCTGCTCCCAGCCAAGGGTGAATGAGTCTGCGTCACCAGCCGAGGGCGTAGCACCCAGCCGAGTTCGCAGGACTCAGCCACGGTCGTCGGACGCAGCAGAGGCGTCAGCAGCTTCCAGCCGAGTCCCCTGGTCCCAGCCACGTCCACTGGTCCCAGCCCAGGCAGCTGTGGACCGTGGGGTCCCGGCCCCCTCTCGCGTCCTTGCAAGCCTACCAGGATTGAGTCAGTGTCCCTCTTTATGTGGTCCTCCAGGCTGCCTTTCGGTTGCCCCTTCCTGACGCCGCCATTTTTCCTCTCTTCCAGCTTTCTTGAGATATAATTGGCCTATAACACTGTGTACCATTCAAGTGTACAGTGTGATGATTTGATACACATAGATACTGCAAAATTTATTACCACAATAAGGTTAGCTAACACATCCTTCACACAATTGCCACATTTTTTGTTTGTTTATAGTAAGAACATTTAAGATCTGCTCTTTTAACAACTTTCAAGTATAGAATACAGTATTGTTAACTATAGTCACCATGTTGTATGTTAGGTGTACGTCTCCAGAATGTATATATCTTATAAATGAGCAGATCTTTATGGATACTTCCTGGCAAAGACTTTCTTGGAAAGAGTCCTTGAGAAAGGTCTTTAAAGACAATTGGGCACATTAGACCTAGTGGAGAGGAGATAATTGTCATGCACATTACCTGTTCCATAGCTCCCTGTGGAATTGAAGCTGGCATTATTTTCACCAAAAATCTGTGGAACTGCAAAGAAAATCAGCTATTGGCTCAGCCCCAACTGCAGGATGAATATAACAAACAAACATCTCCACAGGAGCTGCTAGGTCACCATGACTATTAATGAAAAGTATTGGACTCTCTGTCTCAGGTCAGCAAAGACATGTAGATGTTTATTGTAAACATGTTCACTTGCTCATATTTGTATTTTCTTCCTTCTTGTTGACATGATAGGAATTGCACCTCCAGATGAAGGAAGATACCTCTTACCCAACCACTGCCTCCTAAGTGCATTTTCTTTCTCATTTCCTTTCCCTACTGGTTTCTGGGGCGGGAGAAGATTCCACTTGCTGCAGTTGCAAAATCCCTCGATAGGGGGCGTTTCTTCTGAAGCATTTGGATGAATAAGTCTCCATGCCCACAGAAGGAAATTCCTCCCTCCATAAACCCCATGATTTTATGTTGCAGCTCAACAGTCTAACATTAGTATAAACTGCTGCTGAATGGACACATTTTAGCAACAGTAACAGGCACTGCTGAGTATTTCGGCTCAGATCACCCAACTGATACTCTAGGGCAAAAGCTTCCTGTGGGGTTCTAAGTCAATTCTACATCTCCAAGGTCCGCTGAGGAACCCGGCCCATTGTGTGCTTTGGGGAGTGAGAAGGGTGTTGTCAGTTGCTCTTACATGGAAAGACTTGGGCACTTCTCCTGTACATTTAACCGTGCTTTCTGAGAAGAGTCCAAGAACAAGACGACGTGGAGCTCAGGTAAGAGGTTGCTCAAATACTCACAATAAAGCAGAAATAAGGTCATTCCGACAACTTTAAGCACCACTATGATAAACCCAGAGATGACCAAGCACCAATTCATGATGATGAGATGAGGAGGCCTGTGGGATTAGAGCACAGTGACCCCATCAGTGTCTGGGGACAAGGCTTCTTTCCACTGGGGTACATGCCAACGTCTTCCTCAGAGCTCCCTTAGGCAGGGGGACTGGGAAGGCAGGCATGCCATGGACAGGCACAAGGAGACCCAGCACAGGCCCAGAGATGGATAGGATCTTGTTCTGGTTGGGAGCCTTTGGACTTGGCATGCTACCTCTCCTTCACCCATCCCTCAGCTCGGCTTCATCCCTGTCCTCCTTCATGGACGCCTAAATTCTCTTTAATGAACTAAATCCTTTCCTGGACTTTGAAAACCCTTGGCCTTAAAATGATTCTTGCTCCCTAGCACCTCCGTTAGTGGTCTTGGCCATACTGACTTCAGCTGTCAGAGCCTCAGTCTTTAAAAGACTATGTCAGGAGTTGACAGGTAGGACAGGTGTCCCTGAAGGTCTGGGCTGGGGGGAAAGAGCCAACAATCTGTGCAGAGAGGACAGGTGCGTAGACTTACCTGCTTTCTCCCTGAAAGGCTGGGCTGGTATGTGGTGGGGATCTTCCCGGTGGTCTTCTGCTTGGTGGGCAGAGGCCCCTTCTCCTGAGAGTACGCTCCTTCTGCTCAGGCGACTTCCCTTTGCAAACGGTCTCTCTGTCTTGGCAGCATCCCCAAGTAAACACTTCTTCCTGTTTTGTGTTCTTGGCAAAGGGAGAGGGTGGGGCAAGGAGGGGAAAGAAGTGTGTCACCTTTTCCATTGGAAGGTTCCTGCCAGAGGCCTTCTAACACAGGGGAACACTTTTAGGAGAATTTGGAAAACAAAACACCTCGACACAGATGCACTCTTTCTCTGTAGCTGAATCCGCTTGAAGTGCAGTGGAAAGAAAATGTAGTAAAATCTTAACAAATAGGGGTTCTGGGTGAAGGGTATCTGGACACTATTTGTACTTCCCTTGCAACATTTTTACAAATTGGAAATGATGTCAAAATGATAATTTTAAGTAAAGAAATCCATCTGAAGTCACCGATGTGAGTGAGCAGGCCCTCCTGTCACACCCGTCCCATTTAGTCCAACAGTTCTGCTTGGCTCCCTCTCTGGCCCTAGACACTCACCTTCCAGCCCATGTGCCATATAAAGACAGTGACTATTCAGCAATTTTTTATTTTTTCAATTCATTGTTTATTGTTAACAGTATTACAGATGTTCCCTATCCTCCCCACCCCCTGCCCTTTGCCCTATTCCACCCAGCCCCTTCCCACCCCAGGCCTTCACCACACTATTGTCTGTGTCCACGAGCTATTCATAGGCACATATAAATTCTTTGATTAATCTCTTCCTATCCTCCCCACCCTTTTCCCCTCTGAGATATGTCATTCTGTTTCCTGCATCCATGCCTCTGGACCTGTTTTGTTCATCAGTTAATTTTGTTCTTTAGAGTCCACATATAATTGAGATTATGTGGTATTTGTCTTTCTCTGACTGCATAATACCCTTCAGGTCCTTCCATGCTGTCGCAAAGGGTAAGAATTCCTTCATTTTTACAGCTGCGTAGTATTCCATTGTGTAAATGTACCACAGCCTTTTTATCCACTCACCTACTGATGGGCACTTTGGCTGTTTCAAGATCTTGGTTATTGTAAATAATGCTGCTGTGAACATTGGGGTGCATATATTCTTTCTGATTGGTGTTTTGAAATTCTTAGGATATATTCCCAGAAGTGGGGTCGATAGTCAAATGGCAGTTCAATTTTTAATTTTTTGAGGACACGCAATACCATTTTCTACAGTGGTTGCACCAGTCTGCATTCCTACCAACAGTGTACTAGAATACCCTTTTCTCTACATCCTCACCAGCACTTGTCTTTTGTTGATTTGCTGATGCTACATAGCCATTCTGGCAGATGTAAGGAGATACCTTATTGTAATTTTAATTAGCATCTCTCTGATGACTAGTGATGCTGAGCATTTTTTCATATGTCTCTTGGCCATCTGTATGTTTTCTTTACAGAAGTGTCTACTCAGGCCCTTGTCCATTTTTAAATTGTGTTGTTGGTTCCTGGTGTTGAGTTGTATAAGTTCTTTATATATTTTGAAAACTAACCCCTTATCAGATGTATCCTTGGCAAATATGTTCCCCCATACAGTACCTTTTCATTTTGTTGACAGTTTCTTTTGCAGATGCCTTTTCCCCTTTGTTTTCCTTGCCCTAGGACATATTTTGGTAAAAATATTGCTGAACAAGATGTCTGAGATTTTATTGCCTGTGTTTTCTTCTAGAATTTTTATGGTTCCATGAGTTACATTTAAGTGTTTTATTCATTTTGAATTTATTCTTGTGTATGAAGTAAGTTGGTGGTCTAGTTTCATTTTTTTTTTTTTTTTGCATGTACCCGTCCAATTTTCCCACCATTTATTGAAGAGACTGGTTTTACTCCATTGTATACTCCTTTGTCAAATAGTAATTGACCATGAAGGCTTGGGTTGATTTCTGGGCTCTCTGTTCTATTCCATTGATCTATATACCTGTTCTTGTGCCAGTACCAGACTGTTTTGATTATAATGGCTTTGCAGTATACTTTGATATCTGGTATTGCAATTCCTCCAATGTTGTTCTTTTTTTTTTCAAGATTGCTGAGGCTTTTTGGTTCCATATAAATTTTTGAAATATTTATTCTAGATCTGTGAAATATGCCATTGGTATTTTAATAGGGTTTGCATTGAATCTATAGATTGCTTTGGGTAGTATAGACATTTTAATGCTGCTAATTAATTCTTCCAACCCATGCACACAGTATATGCTTCCACTTGTTTGAATCTTCCTCTATTTCTTTCTTCAATGTCCTGTAGTTTTCTGAGTACAGGTCTTTTACCTCTTTAAGTTTGTTCCTAAGTACCTTAATTTTTTTGTTATAATCCTAAATGGGGTTGTTTTCTTAGTTTCTCTTTCTGAGAGTTCAGTATTGGTTTATAAAAATGCCACCGATTTCTGGATATTAATTTTGTATCCTGCTACTTTGCAAATTCATTTATTAGATGTGGTAGTTTTTTTTGGTGCTGTCTTTAGGGATTTCTATATATAATATCATGTCATTTGTGAATAATGACAGTTTTACTTCCTCCTTTCCAATTTGGATGCCTTTTATTTCTTCTTCTTGTCTGATTATTGTGGCTAAGACTTCCAATACTATGTTGAATTAGAGTAGTGAAAGTGAACATCCTTGTCTTGTTCCTGATCTTAAGGAAAATGCTTTTAGTGTTTACCCATTGAGTATGATGTTGGCTGTAGGTTTGTCATATATGGCCCTTATTATGTTGAAGTATGATCCCTCTATTCCCACTTTGTTGAGTGTTTTTATCAGAAATGGGTGCTGGATTTTATCAAATGCTTTTTTTGCATCTATTAATATAATGTGATTTTTATCTTCCATTTTGTTTATGTGATGAATCACATGTATTGATTTGTGAATATTGGACGAACTTTGCATCCCTGGAATAAATTCCACTTGGTCATGGTATATGCTCTTTTAAATGTATTGTTGGATCTGATTTACTAATATTTTTTTGAGGATCTTAGCATCTATGTTCATCAGGAATATTGGCCTATAATTTTCTTTCTTTGTAGTGTCTTTATCTGGTTTTGGAATTAGAATAATGCTGGCCTTGTAAAAAAGGCTTGGAAATCTTCCCTCTTGAATTGTTTAAAATAGTTTGAGGAGGATAGGTATTAATTCTTCTTTAAATTTTTAGTAAAATTCACCTGTGAAGCCATCTGGTCCAGGACTTTTGTTTGCTGGGAGTTTTTTGATTAATGCTTCAATTTCATTAGTTGTTATTGGCCTATTTCTATCTGAGTTTTGGAATATTGTATGTTTCTAGAAATTTGTCCATTTTACCAAGGTTGTTCAATTTGTTGGCATGTAGTTGTTCATAGTATTTTCTTACAGTCCTTTGTATTTCTGTGATGTCAGTTGTTACTTCTCTTTCTGATTATTTATTTGGGTCCTCTATCATTGTTTCTTGATGAGTCAGGCTAAAGGTTTATAAACCTTGTTTATCTTTTCACAGAACCAAGTCTTAGTTTCATTGATTCTTTTGTATTTTTTTTTTTTTTTTTTAGTCTTTATGTCATTTATTTCCAGTCTGATCTTTATTATTTTCTTCCTTCTACTTACTCTGGGCTTTGTTTGTTGTTTTGTTACTAGTTCTTTTAGGTGTAGGGTTAGATTACTTATTTAAGATTTTTCTGGTTTCTTGAGGTAGGCCTGTAATACTATGAACTTTCCTCTCAGGACTGCTTTTGCTGTGTCCCATAGATTTTGGGTCATTGTGTGTTCATTTTCATTTGTTTCCAGGTAATGTTTTATTTCTTCCTTGATCTCATTGTTAACCCATTCATTGTTTAATAACATGTTATTTAGCCTCCATGTGTTTGAATGTTTTTTAGTTTTTTTTTTCTTATTATAGTTGATTTCTAATTTCATGTCATTGTGATTAGAGAAGATGCTTGATATAATTTCAGTCTTCTTGAATTCGTTAAGACTTATTTTGTGTCCTAACTTGTGGACTATCTTTGAGAATGTCCCGTGTGCACTTAAGAAGAATGTGTATTTTTTTTTTTTTTTATCCTCACCCGAGGACATTTTTTCATCTTTTGTTCAGGTAGAGTGTGGGGGAGAGAGAGGAACAGAGAGAGAGAGAAACATCGATGTGAAAGGGACACATCGAGTGGCTGCCACCCGCACAACAGACCAGGGCCGGGGACAAACTGCAACCGAGGTACATGCCCTTAGCGGGAACCGAACCCGGGTCTCTCAGGACCACAGGCCGATGCTCTAACCGCTGAGCCAAACCGGCCAGGGCGAGAAGAATGTGTATTTTGCAACATTGGGGTAAAATGGTCTGTAAATATTAATTAAATACATCTTATCTAGTGGGTTGTTTAAGATCACTGTTTCTTTATTGATATTTTGTCTGGAAGATCTATCTGGTGATGACAGTGGAGTGTTACAGTCCCCTACTATGACTGTGTTGCTGTTGATCTCTCCCTTAAAGTTCACCAAGAGTTTTTCAAAATACATCACATGCTCCTATATTGGGTACATATATGTTTACCAGGGTTATATGCTCTCGTATCAATCCTTTTAGTATTATGTAGTGACCTTCTTTGTCTCTTGTTATAGTCCTTGTTTTGAAGTCTATTTTGTCAGATACAAGTATTGCTACCCCAGCTTTTTTTGTTTGTTTGTTTCCATTTGCATGGAATATTTTTTTCCCATCCCTTCACTTTCAGGACAGATTTTCTTTTTATGATCACAAGTTTATTTCTAGTTCTATCCTCTAATCTGAGTTTTAGTTCTTCATTTTTAAGAATTGGACGGTGTTTTCCAACTAGTTGACATGATGTCAACCCAGTTGCATTAATTTCCAAACCACATTTACTTACCATTTCCCCCAAACTCAATCCAACTTCCTCTCTCAACTTCTTCATTTTGTTAGTAATTGTATTATATTACAACACACTCAGACACTGAAAACATTCTTGATTCTTCCTTTTATATCAACCACCACATCAAGACACTAGTTGATGTTTTTCAAAAGCTCTTTTATATCTTTTCATTCTCACCACTCTATCCAAGTCAAAATCTCTCTTCATGGTCAGAGTGAAAATGGCTCA